TTCTTTGGAATATTTACAAGTATATAGGTATGTATGTATATATTATGTATATACTTTTTGGATGTTTTTTCTTCCATAGTTCCTGCTACGGTGTTATGTTAATTTTTCTTTTACACACCTTCTTCTTCTTCTTCTTTTACTTCTTCTACTACTTCTTAAAAACGTTTCGGTAAGAGAACCGTAAATGTAAATAAAGGAAGCGTGTAACCTCGTTCGAATATCTTACAACGCGTGTATCTTACAAAATGTTATCTCTATGTAATTACGAAATCAATTGTTGTAACTGTATTATTTATTTGTATACATTTTTATTATTTTTTCTAATCATTTGTTGATATCTAATTTAATTTAAATTAAATATATATTATATTATATTAAAAATAATATATATATATATTTTAAACTTATAACTTGTCTAGGTCACATGTGACTCTTCTTGTAATAAAAATGCATAACATTTACATCATTAATATAAATAAAATAAAATATTTGTTGTGTAATTGATTTAAAATCTTATTATTTATTAAAACATATGATTTCTTGTTTTTAAACTATCATTTAATTCCTCAGAGTAATTTTAATATTTCATAGTACATTTCATCTGACAAATGAGATGATCTGTTGTTTAGTTTTAATATTATTAAATAAATAATAAATCTTTTGAACAAACTCATTTTGCATAAAATGAAAATAAAAAGTAAAGAAAATTAAGTGTATCCAATAAATAATATTTCAAAGTTCGTTAAACATATTGTTTAATATATTATAATACATTAGTATTGTCTTGGTCGATAAAACATAAAAGTTTGCTCAGGTGATTCCCGTTACACGTTTTCACCTGTACTAACTATAATATATATCTAACTAATTAAGTTCCTATCTAGGAAGAAAGAGTATTATTATTACTTTTAATCGTAGGATTCATGTTCCAGTTATTTCATCCAAAAAAAAAGTATCTATCAATAAGAAGATAATCTTTCATAAATATCTAGATATATATTTTATGTTTTAACAAACATATAACAAATATGCAGACATATACACAAGTATCATCAAATGTTATTCAATTTCATCAATTAAATTTTATATAAATCATTTTAATAATACATATATGTATATTTATTTAATATAAATTTATAAAATAATAAAAAATAAAATTTGTTGTTACCATTATCAATAACATTAAATTATCAAAACCATAACACCATATATGACACAAACCAATGTGTATAACTAAAGTGCATACTTTATCATCTAGTTTCTATAATATTGTACATAAATATAAATAAATAAATATAAAATATATATTTATTTAATTAAGAAAATTTCATGAGATATATATTAAATGTATAAAATAAAAAATACAATTTGTAACCTTTATCAATAATAAATTATCAAAACTGTAACACCATACTCAACACAAACAAATTATATGCATAACTAAATACATATTTTATCTAAAGTTTCTATACAAATATAAATAAATAAATATATATATATAATACATATATAATATATATATGTACGAGTGAACCAGGAACACGAGAAACAGGTTCCAACCGCGAGTACCGTAGATCCTTAAGACATCATTGAAGCGAATGGTAACCAGCTTCGGCCGTTGGTCGAATGGATTTCACTGTAAATGTCAACCGACGGCACGTAAAACGTCTCACCGATTTGAAGGAAAGTCGTTCGTTCTCGACAAAAGTAAAAAAAAAAATAAAAAAATAATAAAAAACAAATAAATAAATAAATAAATAAAGAATGAAATAATGAAAGAATGAAATAGACTCGAGTCTTACATTGCGTGTTTTTCTTCACGCGTGTGTAACACCTGAGAAAACCGACGAATCGTGAAATCTGCACTGTCGATTGGTCCACACACATACATACATATATATGTGTGTGTGTAAGTTTAAATCTTTCTAAAATAATACAATCTTACATATAAGTACATACACCTATGATGTTTCCTATACATGACCAAAGTATGTATGTGTGTATGTGTGTGCGTCAAAATATGTGAAGCGTGTGTATTTGAACAAACAAGTGCAACTAGGCGATAAATCGATATTGTTATGGTGGTGCCACGGAGTAAGAAAATCGTAAACTTTCCAGGTGCCTCGAGAGTAATCATTTCAAGCACGGTAACCTTTTGTTTATGATATTTCACTTTCTATATGACCAGATTCTACCTGTATACACGTATGTATATATATATATATATGTGTTTGTCGTATACCTAAAGAACACATTGGAATCACAAAACTCAAACTTAACTCCTGTCTCTTTCCTTTTCATCTCAACCTTTCCCTTTACCCCCTCCCCCCTGTACCTCCTCCACCTCCACCACCTCCACCACCTATCCCACCTTTTCTTTCCTTTTTTTTTGAAACCACCTTTTTCACCATCACCTTCTTCTTCTTCTTATTTTTTTCTTTATTATTCACTTTGTTACATTCTGATCCTGTTGAATTTATATGCACCTACGCATTTAAGAATGTGTTTGTGTGTGTGTGTGTGTTAGGATTGGTGCAAGAGGCTTTTTTTTTTTATTCAAACCAGAACTCGTAACTTAAATCTCAGTTTAGTTTATATTTAGAAAATACGGAAAGTTATAATAGTATATGCGTAATGTAAGTGTATGGTGTTTAATTAATGCGACTATTAACACGATTACGCGATCAACAGTAATGTTATCTTTCTCATACACATATACGCACGCACATACACATTTTTTTCCTCTACGTCTTATTCTCTTTTTTTTTTTTATCAACTATAGGACAAGTTATTACGCAAAGCCGGAAATTATTTTGGTTTTTTTTTCTTTCTTTTATATCGACGAGATATTAGTATATATCGAATATAACGGTATCGATATATGCCAATGACATAAATTCTCCAACTCGTTTTCATATGTATACATATATATATATATATATACGTTTTTCTTTTTCTGTAAATCTTTTGATTTATTTATTTTTTTTATTTTATTTTAATATTTGACACAGAGACTCAATTTTACAAAAACAAACAAAAGTTTAGTTAGTATTCCCTATTTATTTTTTATAACAAAATAAAAATAAAGTTATACATAGTTGAAATAAAATAAATCGAATAATTTAGATCGATCTTTTTCCTCCCCACTCCTCACACTTTTCACCCTCACCCTTCACCCCGTCTCTTGTTACATCGCGTAGATAATTCAAAACGATTAATCTAAATGAAACCCTTACCAACAAGATACCTATACACATTTAACCAATCTAATTTCAACCCCTTTTCTGCACGCACACACGACTCTCCCTTTTCATAATACTCTTATTCTCATTCCCTCTCATTCTCTCTCTTTCTATCTCATATATAATCTCATCCAATATTTTTTAAAGTAAATATATAATAACCTATATCTCACAATTTAAATCAAAATGCAATAAATATTGAGATAACAAAATACCATCTGTAAGAAACATGTTCACATGCATACATACATAGAAACACAAAGTAGATATTACATTAGATAACTTCATAAGTATTGTTAAAACGATGGTAATAATATTATAGTTAAGCTGAAAAATAAATCTAACACGTAACAAGTATAAATACAACGAAATTTCGTATAACTTTTTGAAAAGAAGGATCCATCAGAAGAAACATCATCTATCTATCTCTCTCAGTGCACGAAACCTAATCGTTTTTGTAGTCGGTCCGGTTCTCCGGTCAGGTACCGACCTACCGGAACGCGAGGAACCCGCCCAGCACCAGCAGTAAGAGCAGCAGCATCATCCATCGTGGACGGAAAGGTACGAAGTGCTGGGAATAACCAGCGTGCCGCGCCGGTATGCGCCTAATGCAGCCTTGTTCGAACGAAACAGAGGAAGGGGGTGTGCTTAAGGAAGAGTGGGGGTATCACGAATGAGAACGGGTATAGGGAAAAGTCGAACGTGTGGTGGGAATGAAGGGGAAAACGTGGTTTTCGTCCCTACCACTATTTTGGGTTGAATAGTGGGAGGAAAACGTGGTACATGGGCAGAAGAAGGAGCAACCTAATCCAATGGCGTAAACGTTCAATAACGAAGAATAATACGTAAACGATGGTTGGGTAAGAATTATTTGAATTTACGCCAATGACGATGAAGAAGAAGAAGCCAGTTTCCGACGGTCTCCCCACCAACTCAACTTTACATCTTCCCCCACCCAATCCGACAACGGCAACGGCAACGGCGGCTAACGGCGCGGTAACGGCGGCGGTGGCGGCGGCGAATGTGACGACTGTGACGACGACTATGACGACTATGACGACAGTGACGGTGACGGTGACGGCGTTTTAGTCGCGTTAAGGCGCCCCTTTCAGTACGGAGCCGACGACCGGGCCAGCTGCAACCGTTGCACCTGTTCGTCCCGTTTTCTTCCTTATATCTCTCTTCTCTAACATTTTATTCTTATTACATACTTTGTTAATTTTTATTCTTCTTTTTATTCTTATTATTCTACTATTTCTTTACTCTTTTTTTTTTTAATCCTTTTTATTTTTTTTTTATATTTATTTATACTTTTGTCTATTACCCTTTCTCTGTCTCTTTCGTCGACGATGATAAAACGCGAATTTCGGACACGAATTTTGTGCTAAACTTCGACGTATATAAATTCAAAATAAACTTATTATTCGTTGTTTTAAAAATTATTAATTAAACAAGGATTCTTCGATATACATATAGATATATATATATATACTTTCTATATTCGTATAATAAATTAATATTCATGATATTTTTTTTTATTTAAAACACGCGGGTGATTTAATCGTCGTACTGTTATTGTTGTTATTGTTGTTGGTGCCGCAAGTATCAAGTGCGGAAGAAAAAGAAAATGAAGAGTTTGTTCTTGTGAAGAGAAAAAAAGACATTTAAAAAAAAAAAAAAAAAGAAGGAAAAGATATTTAATAATCCTATCCAGAATTCTTTCAATTATTTTTGTTTTTCTCTTTCTCTCTCAATCTTCTTCTCTGTTTCTCCTTTTCCTATTTTCAAATATTTAAAATACGAAAAATTCGGTCGTGAAATTATTATCAACCCTTACTGTGCAAACTTTACCAGTTTAAAAACACGTTGACGAATTAAACAAAACAAAAGAAAAAACAAAAACAAAAGGAAAGAAGGAAAGAAGAAAAATAAAAAAAGGGGGTCTAAGGAAGACAGAAAAAAAAAAAAAAGAGAAAGAGGAGTATCATCTTTTCATGGTTTTGCCGGCGCATCTTTGGTGATTCGACGGACCTTGGGATAGAGGCGGCAGAAGCCCGTGTGCCTACGGTGAGTCCTTCGACGATAAATTCCAGCCTCCCGGAGCCCGAGGGTCAAGAGCGGTCAGACCTCTCGCGCGTCGCGACACGTAGACTGGTTTTCAAAGCTTCTTCTAAGGGCCCTTTTACTCGACTCTGTGATTCCTCATTTTATTTCTTAATCTTATTCCCTATTCCCTATTCCCTATTCCTTATTCATTGATTTTTCACATTGATTTTTCATTAAGTTTTCATATCATCGTCTGAATTTCTTTCCAAATGTCTTTCCAAATTGATTTTGAACCATTCAAATTTTTGAACCCTTTTACTCGTCTTCGCGATTACTCATTTTATTTCTTAATCTTATTCCTTATTTATTAATCTTCATTGATTTTTTTTTTTTTTACATTAATTTTTCATTGAATTTTCATCTTTATATCATCATCTACATTTCTTTATTTCTAAATGTCCTTTGCAATTGGTTTTCTAAATTTTTCAACCCTTTTTACTCGACTTCGCGATTCCTCATTTTATTTCTTATTCTTATTGATAGATTTGTATTTTTATTTATATTATTATCTTTGATACATCATTGCATCTTTCTGTCAAAAAATATTTTACCTTGTTTCAAATTGCTTTTCAAAATTTTTTACAACCCTTTACCTAAACTTGTTATTTCTCATCTGATTTTTTATTCTTAATTTTGACTGATAATTCATCATATTTAATTATCACCATCTTTAATCTCATATCTTTCATTCAAAAAATATTCTTTTTAGATGATATTCAAAATTTCTAAGACCCTTTACATTAAACTTATCATTCCTCATCTATTCCTTATTCTTAATCTTGACTGATTATTATTTGCATCATCATCATCATCTTTGATCATTATCTTTGATCATCATTATTTTCTCAATCTTTTATCTTCCTTTCAAAAAAAAAAAAAATCCTTTCCTTCTATTTCATACAACTTCTATCCTATTTCATCGATTTCATTCATTTTTCTCATCATTCTTATATTATTCTAAGAACAATTAGATACTTTTATATTATCTGTTTATTTATTATTATTATTTATTATTACCCAATTATTGTTATTATTATATTATATATTATATATATTATATTTATATAACATATATAATATGATTATATTATACAATAATAAAAATAAGTATTACTATTATTTATTATTACCAAATTATTATTACTAATATTATATTATATAATTCTAATTATTATTATTATTATTATTATTACTATTGTTTATATATTACCAAACAGAGAAACGATCATTTGCGTTAAACTTCTAAATAATAATAATAATAATAATGCATCTTACGGTAGAACTAATGATTATGTCTTGCCCACGTACACATTGCCAACGCAATATGATAATTCGTATAATCGATTAACGAGACGTATCATTCTCTTCTCTATTTCTCTCTTTCTCTCTCTCTCTCTCTCTTTCTCTCATCTACAGCACAGTTTTCTACAAAAAGAAAAGAAAAAGAAAAAAAAAATGCGAGTTCATCAAAGACGAACAAACGTCCTTGCTAAACTCGCGGCTGTTCTATAATCTTTATTGCAAAACATTTTTACTAACAATAAGAAAGAGAGAGAGACAGAGAGAGAGAGAGAGAGAAAGATAGATAGAAATATTTTGCGTATAAAACGGAAGAAGAAATTTATTTCGTCGATTATTATTATCATTATCATCATCATCATCTAACTAAATATAACTTGTGACACACATTCTACTTTTTCTTTTTTATCCTTAATATCTTTTTTTTTAATTTTATTTTTCTGTTTGCTTCTTAACCCAAGGAACACATGATTCATATATATTTATATATATATATATATATATATATAAATTTTATATACTCGTACATTTACGTAATTACCTTGACAAAAAAAAAATATATATATATGTATACATATACATACATAAATATACACAAGTATAATAAAATGCACCTACATTTTTTTTTTATTTATTTAAAAATACGTACGAGAATATTATTAGCAAAAAACAAATGGTGAGGTTAGGAATGGTGGCGGTAAAAATAAAATAAAAATTGAAATAAAAAATGGTATATAAAAATATGTTTACAACATTACCAATAAGATAATGTGTGTTAGTTACAAAACTAATCGGAATTGAGTAGTATTTTTTTATTTAAATATACTTACGATGAAAAATAATTTTGCAAAACAAAACGGTGAGGTTAGGAGTGGTGGGGATAAAAATAAAATAAAAATTGAAATAGAAAATGGTATATAAAAATTATTTTTACAACGTTACCAATAAAATAGTATGTGTTAGTTACAAAACTAATCAAAATTAAGCAGTATTTTTTTTATTTAAATATACGTACGATGAAAAATAATTTTGCAAAACAAAACGGTGAGGTTACGAGTGGAGGGGATAAAAATAAAATAAAAATTGAAATGAAAAATGAGGAATAAATATTGTTACAACTTTAGCAATAGGATAATGTGTGTTAGGAATAAAACTAAGACGAAATTGACTTGAAAACTATGACTCTTATGATCAAAGATCGATAGTTACGTCACGATTAGTATCGTAAGAAATCATTCGACCGAAGGTCGTTCCTTTTCGTTCGATTCTACCTTGGTAAAGAACGTTGTGAATAGGTAACCACGTTTCTCATTTATCTGACTACTCCTCGTTGTCGATTACTTTCTCCGTTAAACCCTTTTTTTTAAAACCCTGACGCAATTCTGACGCAACTCTGTATGGACGCATATATGGGTCTTGTCAAAATTATCAAAATTATCACAATTATTTTGACGTATATACGTGTTTGTCAATATAAATACAAATGTAATTTAATATAATATTGTTTAGTGTATTAATTATTATATGGAGTCTCTTGTCATACATGAAAAAATTATTTAATTAATTAAATATTATTTATTATAAACATATAATCAATGAAACATAATTACACTAATAATAAATTATTTAACTTCTAATAAACACTTTAACTGATACTATTCACCATTTGAATGATTAAATTTGATCATTCTGAACCTATGACAACTCATTTTGATTTACACCAATGAACACAACGATTAAATCAATTAAATCAACCTAAATTTTGATCTTACTCATTCACACACACTTACACATACTCATAACTATATTCTAACCTCAAATAATTTTCAACCTCAACCTCTCAATCTTTTTACATTGAACCTCTACTCCAAAAAAAACAAAAAGTATCAAAGTTGCATAAGAAGAAAAAAAAGAAAGAAAGAAAGAAAGAAAATGAAAAGAAAAGTAATTTATGGGAATTAAAAAAATAGTATACCAATAAAAAAAGATAGGTTAGTATTAATAGTAATAGTAGTAGTAGACATATTTTATAATACTCTTACAAATCGTCTGACCTCGACCTCGGAAAAACAACGACTGAATTACCGTTCGAGCGTGGTGAAAAGGTACTGGGTGTAATGTAACGGAAGGGTCAGCAATGGTGAGGTGCTTATGCCATAAACAATGTCCCCTTCCTCCTCCTCCTCCCCTCCTCCCCTTTCCCCTCCTGGTGAAATACTCAACGCAGTTTAAAAGCCACGACCAATTGCAAAATCTCAAATGCAATTTTGTTGTGTTGTGTTGTGTTGTGTTGCACTGTGTTATTATAGGCGTTGTTTTTATGGTTATTTATTCGTTGATATAAATTAAGAAAAATATACTATGACAAGAAAAGAAAAAAAAAAAAACAAACTCGTAAAAATTTTGTGAGTACGAGAAACAAAGTTGAGTATATTTTTGTGCATAAATTATTTCATAAAATAATTGACATGTTCATAGTTTATATTGAAATATTATACAGATTTAAAAAGCCACCTATCGGCAAAATTCACAAATTATTTATTTGCCAATCGAATATTTGAAATTTGAGAGAATATGTTTTTTAATTGAAATAAAATAAAATGTAAATTAAATAAATGTTATATTGAAATATATTGTATTTAAAATTGTAGTAAATGTTTTTTAATTGAAATAAAATAAATTTGAATTAAATATAAATTACATTGAAATATTATAATCTATTGAAAATTGTAGGTTATGTTTTTTAAATTAAAATAAAATAAATGTAAATTATAATTGCAATAATATATTAAAAAATTATATATTTAAAATTGTAATATATGTTTTCTAAATTAACATAAATTAAATATGAATTAAGTATAATATTATATTAAAAAATTAAATATTTAAAATTGTAATATATGTTTAAATGTATGTAAATATGTTTAAATTTTAGTACGTTTTTTTTTTTATTTAAAGTCAAATAAAATAAATGTCTAGTATATTTTTAAATTAAAATAAAATAAAATAAAATAAAATAAAATAAAATAAAATAAAATACAAACAAATTGTAATATATGTTTTGAAATAAAAATCAAAATCAAATAAAATGTGAAATTAATACTCATTGATGCGAAATATAAAGTTGATTTGAAAAACATCTCTTCGTGCCAATGATCTATAAGCAATAACCTTCTTAACGATAATCAGATTGGACAGGTATTCGATACACGAATCGAAAGTCTCGACTAACTATAATATTATATTCGCATACGCTTCCGTTTCTTTAACGCTTGTCGATTTGGCGTTATATTAGAGAGAATAGTCTTTGGGTTATAATACTTATGCTCGACATACTAAAAACATACTTTCTAACGATTCCCTCACCCCTCCCCCGCCCTCTCCCCTCACCCCACCCTTTCTTCACACTTAAGAATGATTTTATATTTTAAAATTATAATTTGTCTTACACGTTTAACGAAAAATCTTAAATTAATGAGATGACTATTATATAAGTTTGTTTTTGTATTTTTTTTTACATTATTATAAGTATTATTATTATTATTATATTTTTATTGTGTTTATAAAAGATTAATGCAATTAAAATGAAAATTGTCAAATTTTTGTGAATGTAACTTTTGAATTCTAACTTTATATGATTATAATCGATCGTTTTAAATTCA